CCCCCAAAACCCCAAAACCCCAAAACCCCAAATTCCAAATAAAAAGTAGAAATCGTTATATTTATATTAGTTTTGGAATAAAATTATGGCTGATATTGGGACAAAAAGAACATCACCTTTACAACAAACCGCTAACCCTCACCACAAAGTAAGCTTCCAACTTCCTAAATCCTTCACTCAAAATCCCTTATTTCCCAAAAATTCCCATTTCTCCCTAAATTTCCCACTCAAAACTCACCCCAATTTCTAATTTCCTAAATTTTATAAAAAACCTAACAGTGCTTTTTAACTTACTGCCATTTCTCATTAACACACAGAGATTTATGTCGCCACTTAAATTTCATTTGTGCTGATAACACTGTAGAAGACAGATACGAAGAGAGGTATCATAAAGAAGCAAGATCTTAAGAAGATAAGTGAGCTGAATAAGATAAAAGCCAAGGTCAAGAGAGCATTCGAAGATCTAGATGAAGGTAGCCCTGCTTAGAAGGAGTCTAATGGGGTATAGGAAAAACAGGAGATATTTCAACCAAGTTATTCACAAGTATACTTCATTGTCTTGGAATTGAGATTAATAGCAGATGTAAGAGAGTTTTCTAACAGATAGTGTTACATCAGAATGTGATTAACGGCAATGTTAAATATTATCAGAGTAGTTCCTTGAAGTTGATCTTTAGTGATACAATTACTCAAACAAGAGTTAGACCAGAAATCAGGAAAGTTATATTAATGTTCTGAAATCTTAGGCTTCAGTGGAAGTTTGTTGAACCATCAAGTCAAAAGAATTCTTCATCCAGAGAAGCTAAATCGATAGACACACGTGTGAGCGGCAATAGTTATTCCTCTATCAGGACATCACAAGTGGACAAAATTTCAGAAAGAAGTTTTAGGTCAAGGAAAAGCATTAACAGATTACACAATGTCTCGAGAATTCTTCAGAATAATGAAGACAAAATTCCATTCAAAAATACTTCTACTATAAAATATGATGGTATACTCTGATGATAAAATCTAGGCAATAAAACACTAACCCTACCAGAAATAAATAAGCACATTCCTGACACTCAAAGTCATATTTCAGGTATAATCATATCTAAACTCTCTAGGCATTACTTCAAGATATGGTGGGAGTCCAGGAGTAGGATAATAGGTAAATGTATAGAACATGCGCAAGCTAAAAAGTATTACTAGTGACCGATACAAAGGAGTCAACCGAAGTCAAAATCATTCAACAACTTCCTCAATTGCAGACTTTAAATCGACTATTTCTTCACAGTAGTTAATGCCAATTATGCTATAGAGCTTCTCATTTTCATGAGTTTCTCCTACAAGCTTCGAAAATGAGCAGAAGTATCGACATAAAGAAGGCACTATCAGTTTTGAAATATTTGAAGAAGCAGAAAGTTCCACTTGTTCCATATAAAACATTCAGGGTTCCCAAGTTCTTATGTGATATTTATGAAGAAATTCTAATAAAGGAAAGATCAAAGAGGTAAACCGTTTACTTCAGGAGCATTCAAATTTATTCTATCTTCAGCACTTAATTCTTTTATTGAGAGTCACAATAGAGCTCACTAGGCTGCTTATTAATGAATTCCTAACTCTGACTAATCTTATACACGTTTTATCTAATTCTTTATAGTGCTCACATTACTGAAAAAGAGTTCTGTAAATTAATCAGCAAATTTGTTGAAATAGAATTAGATGACGTACTAGAAAATATTCAAGAAGGGTTGATTCAAGTTCTCAAAGTTCAAGATAAAGGAATATCGATTGAGAAACTTGAAGATTTACTTGAATTATACAAATATTTGCCTGCAGACCCCAAAGACTTAAATAAAGTAATTTTTAATAGTTTAGACACTAAAATAGCTCTAGGTTGGTAAAATCAGTGATACAAAATCATCTATTAATAAAAGAAAGACTGGATTAAGAGAGTGTTTAATTATCCTAACAGATTTGATCCACTCAAGATTTGAGAACTCATCCGCTGCTTTCAAGTGTTTTAACTACTCAGATCAAGGAACTATCTCAAAATCAGATTTCCAGACCACGCTACATAAGCTCGGCCTCAAATTTACAAACAGTCAGACTATATCACTCTTCACCACTGTCGACAAAAACAGCGACGGCTACATAGACTTCCCTGAATTCCACAGATTCTTCATCGAGACTTCCAAACATATTTCCAAATCATCCTTCTCAGAGGGTCCTCGTAGCTCAAAAATGAGTCAAAACAACTCAAAAGTAGGTCAAAATCTTTTTATTATTCTCAAAATGTACTATTTTTAATATTAAATTCCCTCCATTTACCTAAATTTCTTCTATAATCTCATACAACAGGACTTCACCAGTTTAAAGCTCATATTCTTTAAAAATTGACCAAATGAGACTTCATATCCGAAAAATCTGTTTTAATTCCAACATGTGTTTGCACGATCTAGAAGCTATTAGAGCCTATTGATAAAGTTGCTGTAACAAGGCATAGAAATCTAAATCCACTAGCATTGACCAGAAAGGGAGTTTTAGGAATTCCAAATCATCAATAGACGAAGATGATGAGATTATATCAAGAAGTTTAGCTAATTTTAAGAAGAAAATGAAAGAGAAGGTATTGTAAGTCTTGGAATGTCAGATGTTTAGCGCTCAAGATCCAAAGAATCTGAATATGAGTTATACATTTGGTATTAAGACACCTCTGCCAGATAATATTAAGGAGATCATGACTTATTCTCCACTAGGAGAGTATATAAAAATAGCAAATAAACGTGAACAAGTCTTCCAAAACTGTAATGCTCCATCTTACCTTTAGCTCGCAAATAGCCTACAAATCTTCAAAAAGGCAAAACCTACTCACAGCAGCATAATCAGAGACACCGAGCTGAAGCGCCAACGCAAAGCACGCCACAAAAGCCCCCACAGCCCCAAAACAGTCATCCCCTCACCTCCTCCCATCACAACCCCCCAATCCAGAACCATACACATCCCCTCACCCCCCAATCCCAGACTAAATCTCTCCTAAGACAACCTCAATAATCTTCCACTCATTAGGGGTTTTGGGGTTTTGGGGTTTTGGGGTTTTGGGGTTTTGGGG